CGCGCGCTAGCAACGTGTTGCAAAAGGCAGAGCCCCATGGAATAGCGCCTCACAGCCGGCTTGGGGAACTTGCTTTATGTGTCGCCCAGGCGTGCAGAAAATGTAAATTCCATGAAAAACCATTTGAAGACGTTTCTGTCGTCCAGGTGAACGCATGCGTGTTACACATTTGTGTTGCGCGTGTTTCTCCACATGTGCACATACGTGTGTTCCCTGTGTACACATATGCGAAGTCAACACAGAAGTTTGTTCGGGTTAAACATGTTGGTGCGATCTAGGTCTGCGCCAGTGTTGCACGTGCACGCAAATGATTGTTCCAAGTGAGCATGTATGGGTTCGAGGTAAACACAAATGTGTGTTGCAGGGGTACGCATGTGTGTGTGAGTGTGCTCCAGGAACACATCTTTGTTTTCAGATGAACACGCCTGTGTGTGTGCGTGTTCCGGGTGCGCATATGCGTGTGTGTGTGTGTGTTCACATGTACACATATGTGTGTTCCACGTGATGTGACCGCGCGCTTGCGCAGCCACACTTGCGTTCGCGCGCGCGCTCGCCCGCTATCACACGCGCTTGCCCAACCTCAGTTCTGGCGCGGCGCTGAAGCGAGAAGCACGCCAGCAACACACGTGCAGCAACGCAATGCGTGCCAGGTTCACGACTGCATCATTTTGATTCATCCGTTTTGAAGCGCAGGAAGCCACAAGTTGTTGGCATGTTTTGTGCTTGCCCATGAGTCCTCAACTGTTTGGGGTCTCTGCTGGTGTGACTAAATGACCCCTCTAGCAAGATTTCATCGTAATTAAGTTCTACTCAAAATCTAGTAAGATCTAACTGAGATCCTTTTGGACAATGGATTCATATCTGAATGTTAAATGTCAAGTGAAATTCTGTTTAAATTATGTCGCTAGTAAAATTAGCTCATTAAGTTCTGTTCAACATCTTTGTTTAATCAACATCCTGCTGGGTAAAAGGAGCCTTGAAAGGATCCGCATGAGGAACTTTACAAGCAGCTTTAGACGGATTTGCGCAAGGGCAAGGATCCTTTATGTGTTTTGGGGTGGATCACTTTAACTTCACCGCCATGCGCCTATGGCGTTTTGGCCCAAGCTACACAGTCCCGACTAGTGTTTCTTGGTAAAAGGATGGGCGCCATATTGCGCCGGCTTGGTTCATCATCGGGGTTTTGCTCACGGCGCTGTTCTGGGCTGACGGTAGGAGGCACCCGCTTTTACAACAAGGTTCAGTAGGGCTTGCTTTGATTTCTTCACCAACTACTTTCGCTCTTACACCATCCACTCAATTCATATTTCACTCACTACCCCAACCAGGTCATCAGGTCAGCCACACTGAGCTTTGTTTCCGGGTTCCACTACCTGTTCTTTGTGCGCAACCTCCAGGTGGTCTGATTCCCGGGTCATCAAGTTCTACCCCAAACAACATATCAGCCGCGCAGCAAATAGCTGTGGCTGGTGGCCGTTCGCGGGTTGTGTCCGCTGCTTTCTCGCCTACTTGCTCTACGGCGTTATCAATGGCGTGTTCCGGTTCTGCAGGGGGTTCCCGATGCGGGAAGTATCCCGATCCTGATGCTTCCCCAAATCGAGGAGCGTCCAGAGACACTGGAGGACAGCTGGCTTGAGTTGCTGAATCAAGGAGGCCAAGGAAGATCCTCATCACGAAGAGCTTCAAACAAGCAACCTGCTCCGGATCAGTGCAGAAGTATCTGCAACAATCCCCTTTTCGGTTGACGAGGGAGAAGTGCCTCCCACTCCCAGGATGTCAAGGCTATCCCGCTTATGCTGCTGCGTGGGGACGCATGCTCACCACCAGCGCCCGCAATGTCACCAAGGGCACGGTGCACGCCTCGTACTTCTTCCCGATGTGCAATCTCACCGGCGTGGCAAATGGCTTCCTGCGCCCCCTACTTTCCAGAGCTGGGTTCAAGAAAAGCACTAAAATATGGGGTTCGACAAGGAGGGCCGCTTGGTGGAAGCTCTTGCAGAAAGTAGAGGCAAGCTTGAAAAGTTTTACAATCAACTTCCAACGCTTTGGATTCATGGTCGATTGTGTCTTCGTGGAGGAGTTTGACGATGGGCGCGCGAACATGAAGAGCAGCGGCTGGAGCCCCACGAGGGTCCTAGCTATCGTGATCGCCGTGCTGCCGGCCCAACGCTGATGAAGAAGACGAGCAGGAGGCGAGATCTCGCTACCGCCCTACGGCGTCTCAAGAGACCGCTCCGAGGGTGCCTCATCGCAGATTGAGCGGCCTCCGCCTTCCCCCGCTGAACAAGGCGATGTTGAGATGAAGGCGGACAGCGACGTTGACATGAAGGACGAGCAGCCCAAACCAAGGAGGACGGAAACCGGCTCTGTGCCTGCTCCTGGACCTACAACCGAGGGCGGCAGCTTAGCCTGTGTAGGAGGGTGCGCCTTGATTTAATTTCGCTCCTGCCCGCCCAAGTTACCGAAAGTATCGGTGCCCAAGAAGACACTCGGCTTCTTCGCAAAGAAGACGCTCCGTCTCAAAGCGGTCCGTGCCCGCCATCTTTAACAACGGCAGCGACAGTCCGAGCGCCTGATGATGATGATGATGATGATGATGATGATGATGATGATGATGATGATGATGATGAATGGGATCCACCAAAACCTCCAGCCAGAGGCGATGGAGACGAGCGCTCTAGGACCGACGTCCGCATGGCCGACGGGAGGAACGTCACCAAGATGTCGGGGAGAAGATTGTCGAGATGTACGATCGCCGTCCTTTACGCAGAGACGATCGCCGCGATGTGTGTGGTGACGAGCGCCCCGAGAGCCGGAGGGAGGATCGCCAAGAAAAACGCCCAGATGACCGCCGCCGGCAGATGCGTGGGGAGAAGGGAGACCCAACAGAGCACTGAAGCCGTGCGAAAGCATCGCCGAACTTCCCATCGATTGGGGCCGTCTGCCTTCCGGCGCGTCGCGATGAGCGCCTCCGCAATGCATGGGTTGCGCAACGATCTATGACATCCTGATCATGCCATGTCCCGACCTGCATCATCGGCGCCTACCACGAGGAAGGACGAGGCGGAAAACGGCTATGTTCTATGGTAATGTGCGTCCGGGCGATGGTCATGTTCCTCGTTAACAGCTGCTGCACTGATGTTCATCTCTCTCCTGAACCGCCGCTGGCTCATAAACATGTCTCTCCCAGATCGCCGCCGGGCCTACAAAAGCAGAGAACACCTCGAGAAACAAGAAACATCTCTGAGGGAGAGTCAAACAGCAGTTGGGGCTAAATCCCCCAGTGGTTGTTTTTGTGGTTTCTAGAGTCTTTTTAAATATATTTTGCTGGTTTGTTTTTAAACGCTTAATTCCTTGCGTTAGGAAGAGCCAAATCGAGCTTACATATGGTTTAGTCATTGCACATGTCCAAACACGTGAAGCAGGAAGAGTTTTATATAGCTTGCGAGCGTAGAACACAAAAACACAGAAGAAATGGATCTTTTTGGTTTGCCCAACTCAAAGTGGAATGTCTCAGAGACCTGAATCCAATCAGGGGTTTTGTAGATACCAGGCAGTTTGGCATTAAACATGTGTACTGTCCATAAGCCAAAGCTATTTGAAGGGACTTGGGATTGGGGGGGGCTGACCATATGGTACTTATGGTACCCTCCCCCTTTGTGCCCCCCTCTTTTGTCTCACGGGGCACCCGGGAGGGGAGGGGATGCACTAATTCTCAATGCGCTTGATCGATTTCTAAATACCGTATTTTGATCTTGGATCCAAGATCACATCGCACATGTTGCAGGATTTGTGCCAAGTTGCAATGCAGATGCGGATTGTGCATTCTTTAGATGTCCTCAGCTGAAATGTCGTTGGATGTGTCAAATGACATCTTTTTGTGCCGAGACGGCGCGTCAGGTGCTTACACCGGCCTATCTGCAGTCGCTCAAGCTGGCCTGGAGGCCATTTGTCTTGGGCGTCCAAAAGCTGGTTGGACTCCTTTGCCTTTGGCCATCCGAACTGGGCATCAAGTTTTAATTAGCGACCCTTTGGTGGACAATCATTCAGGTGGGGAGTTGTGTCCACCAAGCATGTTTGAAGGGGGTTCCCATTGAAGCTCATTGCCGAATCGGTCACCCTCTTTGTTGGACATGTGTGGGTTGGTTCAGTGCTCGCTTGGCTCAGGGCTTCACCTCGAGCTTCCTGACAGCCCCGGCTGCGACAGCTCCGACCGCGGCAACCCCGACCGATGCAGCGCCAGCGCAGCCAGTGCAGAGGCCGGACAAAGGCCGGGCTCTCCGGTCAGGCAAAGACTCCATTTTGTTTTTTCGAACTTGTGAGCGGCTGGGGATGCTCATCAAGTTTCTGAAGTGGAAATGAGACGAACTCTGTGTGGCTTTGATGGTTCTCTTCTTTCTTTTCTCTCTTTTACTTCCTTCCTTCCTTCCTTCCTTTCTTTCTTTCTTTCTTTCTTTCTTTCTTTCTTTCTTTCTTTCTTTCTTTCTTTCTTTCTTTCTTTCTTTCTCTTCCTCTCTGTGTATTTGTGGAACGGCCTGGCTGCTAGAAGCTACTGCCACCCTCCAACTGGAGAACAAAATCAGGGGTTCAGGGCTGGGACGCCGCAAGCTAAAGCGGCATTGCCCGGGACAGATGCACTCGGAATTCGAGGTTCACTTGAAGGAACATGCATCGGCCTTTGGTATGCAGGTGTCGCGCCCCCGCGGGGCCGGAAGAAGACAAAGAAGGTCCGCATCTCATAGCCTCCTGTGAAGGATTTGGACTCTGTGCTGAGGTCCTCGACAAGGAATGAGCCAGTGACCGCTGGAAAAGACAGCTGCCATTCAAGTTGAACATTTGCTCCCCGATCCGATGACTGTCTATCAACCGAGTTTTGAGTGGACTCCCCTTTGCATCTACGATATACGATATACAGGAAGACTTTGCCGTAGTTTGCTCACACTCTTGTCAATCGAGCTTGCCGGGCTCACTTTCACACGTCTTGTTTATCACGTTTGCCATCCGCCAGGCAGTGATCATTTGTGGGGTCAACCTCAGCCTCAGTCCTTTGACGTACGTTAGTTGTTGTGGTGCAGGCTGGGACCCTCGTTGCATTGCGGCTTGGAAAGCCGTGGCTGGCTGCTTTGAGCAGCATGCCAGGCATGCACTCGCACATTGGCCGCTGCTTCACCTACAACTTCTCCGCTGATGGGTACACCCGGGGTGAGGTGAGCTGGGCTGGGGTGGGCGGGCTGGTTACGTGACTGGACGCTCGAGGCGACTGCCTCCACCGCTCTGAAGCTGAAGCCCTTTGATAGGCCTGGCCTATAGATGGCATTTGACCCGCTGTGTAAAGGGCCGCGGCCTTCCTTTTGCATTCTCGGGTGCTGGGGACTTGCAGCTGGAAGTGCAGGGAGCAGGGCGACTATGGCGTGATTGCAGGAAGTCAAGCCAACCAGGACAGATTTGGATCTTCACAAGGGGTCTGAGTTGGAAGCATGGGAGGATGGGCGAAGCGCCTCTCTGACTGCCCCGAACGGTCCAGCACAAGAAAGGTGCCTACAGGCTTGGGGAGTTTCATTTTTCCGTGACACGCCGCAGCATCACAGTTAAAGATTCGATTGCATGTCATCGTATAGCGACCCGCATTCATCTCTGATGCTCAACGCTTTTCTCCATGCTCTTTGACTTAGACTGGCCAATGTGGCTTTTGTTTTCAGATATGGCCATGGGTCAAAATGGGATCCCATAGGTTTTGACCCACAGCCATATGGGAATTCAAGCGCAACAGTTGAGCTCGAGGCAGTGATCAAAGAGGTGAACATGAAACCTGCTGAGATGGACACCACCGAGTGTCTTGCGCTCACGGCTTGAGATAGGATCTCGAGGGGTGCCCAGTAGGTCGAAACCAGTAGCCTCTCCGAGTCTCCAGAGGGGGTTGTTTTCTGGTTTTGTTTTGGTCTCTTTTGAGATCCATCGAGAAGCACTAGGATGCTCTAATGGAGCTTGCGCTCAGGTCACGGCACTGGGACATCCTTGGGAGATCCCATTGAGATAGGAGCCTACAAGAAGGCCGTCGGACGCTACTCATGGAGTAGCGGCAGCAGAGGGTTGTCCGTGTCGTGCGCAGGTGATGTCCATGGTGCCGAGGCGCAAGAGTGACACCGAGCCCAAAAAAACGAAACAAGTCCCCAAATACGTAAGAGCACGTTTTCGGGCTTGGGTTGTGGAGCCCAAGGCATGAGCCGGTGGTCATCACTTCCTCGAAGTCCAACATCGGCCACTGCGAAGGCCATCCGCTTCGTTGTCCTCGGGCGCCAAACATCGCTCGCGCTCATCGGCCGCGAGCGGCTAGGAAGCGCCGGCGTGTCGGGCTTCCTCAAGTGCGTCTTGCTGTGCCTGCCGCGGGCTTGGGATGTGAATCGACGTCGAGAACAGCAGGTAGGCTGAAATAGACTGAAACTCACTTCCTTGGGCAGGGGCATAGCTACACCCCGGATGCCGTTTCAACAAACCCCTCGCTCCAGGGTGTTGTGGTCGAATGATGTGCCCTAAAGCGGAAGAGCACATCAGAGTTGCGACTTGTCATTCCAACATGATTGCAGGATAGTTTAGGCTCAAGATTACCGCCGCAAGCAATCGAAACGTCAGCCTTGCAATGGAAAGCTTGGGAGTGGTCGAGAGCTGGACAGAATGGGACCGCCTGCGCGAAGTTTGGGTTGGCTCCCTGGAGAACAAATCCTTGGATGCACCCCAGGAGCCTGCCGTTGCTCGGAAGATGGCGTGTTACCAGAAGTACAACTGGCCCGTGCGGGACAGGCTGCAGGATGCTGATTGCCTCGCTGAGGCCAAGAAGCAGCTGGACAACTACATCGAGGTCCTCAAGCAGGAGGGCATCATCGTGCAGCGGCCAAAGGTTTTTGACACTCAAGTGGAGATCAAGACTCCCATGTGGTCTGTGGAGAGGATGAGTGGCTTTACCTGCCCTCGAGACCTCTTCTTTGTAGCGGGCAAGCAGGTGATTGAGGCTCCGATGAGCTGGCGCTGCCGCTACTTCGAGCACTTGGCCTGGAGGGATCTGTTGATGAGCTACTACAAATCAGATCCGCGCATGCGCTGGTCTGCAGCGCCCAAGCCAATGCTTGTGGACGACAGTTTCGGAGGTGAGGGGGAGGAACGCTCCATCCGCAACTCCGAGATCTTCTTCGACGCGGCGGACTCGCGGCGCTTTGGGAGGGACGTCTTCTTTCAGAGCGCGCACACGGCCAACGACTTGGGTAGGGAGTGGGTTCGACGAGAGCTGGCAGCTCAAGGCGTGCGCGTGCAGGACTTCGACTTCCAAAGCCAGCAGCACTTCTCCCACATCGACGCCAGGCTCACGCCGGTGGATGAGGGCCTTTGTTTCTACTCATCCATGGACCCCCCCACCGACGCGATGCTGCAGCTCTTCAGGGAGAATGAGTGGAACATTTTGGACGCAGGCTTTCGGGAGGACTGCCGCAGCACCTCCGACCAGTGCGCCCCTGGTATCCACTTAAATGTGCTGACCATCGCACCCAAGGTGTGCATCGTGGAGAAGAACGAGAAGAAGCTCACTAAGCTTCTGAGCGACGAAGGCTGCGACGTGCTGCCCATCGAGTTCTCAGCTTGCTATCCTTGGGGTGGAGCATTGAACTGCTACACCCTGGATATCCACAGGGATGGCCCCGCGCAGAAATCATACTTTCCCACGCTTGACATGCAAGCCGAGCGGCAGGCGGCCAAGTCAGAGAAGCCTTAGCCACGTTGAAAATAGTTTTGCTGACTTGGCATAGGCCATCAGCGTAGTTTGCTAGGAACCAGACTGGAAAACAAATCAACATTGTCGCAGGATATTTTTTGATGAAACCAGAGCGTCATTTTAAGTGCTCTCCCTTACTCTTCCCACAGCTTCTCGACTGCTCGAATTCTCCGGCACTCGCAGATGTGCGGTGAATCATCCAGCAGTACCCGCAAAGGGTCCCAAGCCGTTTTGACACAAAGCGAGGGGACGGACAGCAAAGAACGAGGTTGCCACCCGTGTCCGTGGCTGAACTCCGGAAGGCTTCATCGCTTGCACCAGTATTGCAGCGTCGTTGAAGGGAGCCTCTTTGACAATCGCGGCCAGCTGGGCAATTCTAAAAGGGCGAACCACGCAGAACCCGACCCTGCAAACAAAACCTTTGCAGAGGTAACGTTCCGCATACGTAGTTTTATCCATATGATACAAGCGCATCTCGCATGTTGTTCAGCAGTTGCACAACCGTGCAAGAGATGGCTGGCCATTTCTGTTCATAGTATTGCCTTTGAGCTGCTGAGGTATGGAGAAGGAACTCCCAATTGTCACCTCAATTGCCTGAACCCGTGCGTTCCTGAGCACATGTTTGCATCGTGTGTTTGCCTTATCTTGCATTCATTTCGGAATGAGGCACCTGGACATGACGGGCTTTCCTGGGATCATGACCACAGAGAACCTCACATTCAGAACGGAGGCATTTCTTCAGTAGCTGTCTCAGCAAAAGTCTAAAGACACAAGCTAGGCCAGCTTCAACGGCGTGCTCTCCTTCGGATTCGGCGGAACCAACGCTTGTGCAACTGCCAGAGCCCAAGAGCCCTTCATTTTGCTTTGATCCGGTGAAATTCTATCGGAGGTCTGGGGCGTGAATCAGATGACCTCCAGAGGTGTGGGTACCAGCAAGGACGGCATGTTGAGGCTTTGTATGTGTCTTGGCGCACATCTATATCAGGTTTGGTCAGATTGCTCAGAGTTTTTGCTTGGTTGTAGATTTAGGGACATAGAGGGACTAACCCACATCCTTGCACAGCCGAAGAACCCCCCCCCCCCCCCGCATTTTTCCATGTCCACTGGAAGGTCGGTTCCTTTCGCAGGATCTCTACAGCTTGTTCATCCGAAAGATGCAGGATGCACCTCCCCAGGAAGTGACGATCGTGGGAGACGACTGGGAGGCCGACCAAAGGCTGTCCCTTGTGCTTTCCTCGGTCTTCACCTGGCAGGACTGGGAGATGGGGGGCCCTGACAAGGATGCTCGCTTCAACGACGTCTTCGAGGCGGGAAGGAAAAATGGCCGGAAGCCGCTTGATGGAAGCGTTGATGGAGGTGTAGTTAGACTGGTGTCTGGGTAAATGATGTCCACCAAGAGGTCAAGGAAACTTCACGGTCAGGTGGAGTTGGACCCGGATGGTGTCGTCAGCTACTGGAAGAAGGACAAAGAGGCAGACTGGAGCCGTTGTATGTTCAAACCCACCACCGCTGCGTGCAGGTGCCTGACCTCGGTTCGGCCCTCAAGCCTGCTCGCAAGGCAGTTTTCTTGGACGACTCACCGGCAGTATCACATTTTCCACGCACACAAAGGATAAGCAGAGCTTTGACCCAGGCAGCTCCTACTTCCTGACCGGCACTTTCAATGACTGGAGATACGATGAGATGGAGGCACTGTCCACCAGGCTTGTGTTGTGACTAGCTGACTAGCTTTGGGAGGCTGATCTCAACGTGCCTGGCCTGTACTTCGCTACGGTTCGGATCACCGCCAATGTCGAAGAGGAGCCTAGGGCCTAGTCACACGGCACTGGACGCAAATCAATTGAGCGGGCAGCCATACAACGTCTCCTCCCGCTTTGCGAGAATGAGGACACGCGGGGATGTCACACAACGCATAATTTGAGACTTTTGTAAAACAGTAAAGTGGTCCCTTTGCATACAGGCTTACATCAATTCGCATTCCCATGTAGGATGCAGTTTTACTTTGCAGCTGAGGTTCCAAGTCGTCGCAGGTCAGGATCCCAAGATGACCTTCCATCCCTCGTCTAGGCGTGCGGGCGTGCCAGAAAGCACAAGCTTTCAGAGTTGCTTTTCAGTTCTGGCATTTCGTCCCCTGAGTTTTGTGGCTGGCGGCTTTGCGCGCTTTCAGGACTGCTCTCAAGTCCGCAGCTGTGCGCGGGCCAGAGGAGACCAAAAGGGACAACTGCTGGTGCGTAAGAGGCGCAAAGGGAGAGAGGCTCTCCTGGCTCGTGTTAGAATCATGCCGGGCTCACTCACCTGAAGCATGTTGCCAGGTATCGCGTTGAGTTCTACAGATCTGAAGCGGGTGCTGCCACCGTTTCGTGGCTGAAAGAGACATAGGCAACATAGGCTGTTTCACTTGTCTTATCAGCAGCAGATATTCTGAGCTCTGAGTGCCTGCAGAGCCTTCATGTAGCAACAACAGTCCTTTTTTCGAGCGGAACAGAGCGGTGATTGGTTCACTCAGTACAAGTCGTCAGGAGACAATGTTTAATGAGGGAGATCGGAATACCTCAGACATAGTTGGTGGTTGCATACTTCCAACCATGTTATTCTGATGTCCAACGGGTCCACTGACTAAAGTCTATACCAATGGCAAAAGAGATCTCACGGTCGGACTCGACCCGGTGCTCCTCTTCCGTATGGATCCAGCGAGGCAGCTTAGCGTAGCGCCGAGAGAAATATGTCCTGTTACGCAGGGGGTGGACAGCTGCAAAGTATCGAAACTGCAAAACCGAGTGGAATGCTTTTGGTAAGGTGGCATTCTAACATGGACTCAAATTTGCGGTTGGCTGGCTTTTTCCTTTCAAGCAACCAACCAAAAGTACCATCAACAAATATGGGCTTCGGTTTGCAGTTGGTTTCCCATTGTAGCAACCCTGACGAGGGTGCCATCCAACAAAGAGACCCACGTCATATGAGACGGTTGGGCTCAGGATTCCGGGCCAGTAGATCAATCCCCACGAGCAGAAGCCAAGACTTCGGCTCTCCGGTGCAACGCGCTTCGAAGCGAAAAGCGTTTTGGCTCACAAAGTCCAGTTAGAATTATTTTCATCGGGCGCCACGGACATGGCGATCGACCTCAGGCGCCGGGGATGTTTCGCTGCGTATTTGTTCTGGGCAGTCAGCTGATCGAGGTCCAAGAGATGCTAAAGCTTGCGATTCTGGGCTACATTGATTGGTGGGCAGAAGCCAAAACTGCCCCTGAGCAGCAATAGCATCAGATTTGCCCTGCACACAGCAGACCTGTTTGCCTGCCCCAGGTTTTGCTGAGCGATGAGGTGCGATCCTGTTCGACGCTTGTGTCACTCACGCGAGTTTAGTGTAATCAGTTTGCCGGGGCAGTGGGCTCGCTTGGATCCTTGCAGGCACTGCCCCGAGTCAGGCCAGAAGAGGCTCGGGGCTCGGGGCTCGGGGTCCCGAGCCATCAGCAAAACCGTTCCTAAAAAAAGTCGGTGGAAAGATAGGTCCGAATCTACACTTACAAGCTGCCGGCCCGGGGGCCGAGCTTCCCGAGCTTCCTGACCTCCGGGCAAAGTTGCGCAGCCGAGGTGTGCTCCTTTGAGCACTTCGAAGCGAAAGAGATCGACGGAACCCCAAATTGGCCACTCTGGCAAATTGGGCGTGTCACTGGAACCGATGGTCCACTTGGTGGCCTGTTTGGAATTACGGGGTCAGCTTTGGCGCGCAGTTTCGGTTTGTTTGGTGTCACTGACAAGCCAAAGCTTGTTGCTTCTCTTCCGATGTCGCCTTGTCAGGGGACATCAACAGTTTCATGCTGGGCGCCCGCCATTGCTGCCGATTCACCGCAAGCTCGCGTACGGGCGTGGCTTGACTCGCATGCCAGCATACCATGTGCCGGAAGTTGCGCACGGTTTTTGAGTTCGCTCAAGAGCACCGGCAGGTTTGGCAACAGATGATCCACACAACGCAACTCATTTCTACATCCCAGCGCCGTTCTTCTTTTGGGATGATTCCTGGCAAGGAACAAAGGAGGCACGCACACGCACGCACACATTGACATGTTTGCAGAATCTTGCGACGTGCCGCTCTTGGTTGTCTACCTTGGGTGGGTTACTAGGACCCAAGGACTGGTTGTGAGAAAAAAAACAAACCCTCCAAGCGTTGGTTCCCTCTTGGCGCTGCAAAACGGGACACGGGCCACCCTCGGAAATCTCGTCGCAGGTGTGCCAGGAGACCAATGCTCGCCGGCTTCTCCATAATAGGCGGGGTCGCCTGTGGTATGTGTCAAATGGTGGCTTTCCGGGTTTCCGTTCAAACCAACCCGAAAGGGCTCAAAAAGAGACACACTCATTCTGAGGGGTTTTCATAAGAACTCGTTTTGGGGGCGGTTTCCCTGTTAAACGCCGAGGGTGATTTCGAGGATGTCGCATGGATCCTGGCCCCAGCCGACCCGTGTGCCAACACTTCTGGCAAGGATCAGCCGATTGAAACACACTCGGGATCGGCTCAAGGGAGCTCCGCGACCAGTTGCTCCATTGACTGGGGGTTTTGGGTCAGCTGAGTTGAGAATCATGTGCGACATCCCTTCGCCGCAGATTCCTTGAGCGTGAGATTTCGATCATGGCTCCAGTCACTCAGATGCACGTGGGTATGTGTCAAAGTGGGAATTGGAGCTCGCCAAAATGGAACCCACCTTTTCCTTTTGGCTTCCTCTTCGAACCAAACCCAACAGGGTCACCCGCAACGAAGCACGAGACTGTGACGTCGGAGGGCCATGCCATTTCTGAGGCTTCCTCAAAGAAAGGCCCGCAGCTCGAGCCAAAAGTGTGCCCCCAAAATGGGGGGGTTCCCTTCTGTTTCCCCACCCAAGCCCAAAAAGGGTGCCCTACAAAACAGACACACACACACACACATCCTGCCTGAGGATGGCTATTTAGTCTCTGGCTGCGGACGCAGGTGGGGGTGTTCGCTACGAAACATGCGCACAACTTGAGGCTTACGTGCGCCTCCGAAAGCGCGAAGAGGTAGCAAGGTATAACAGATTTACAAGGCTCAACACATTGTTGCCGTAGTTCGCCTCGGGTATAGCGAGGCGCTTCGATATCCGACCCAAACTCTTCAGGGAATTCAACATGGGGAATGTGGGTGTGATGTGCAGCACACATGTTGCACGCGTGGTCTGCGCGACTCCTGGGAGGTGCACGAGCCACCTGACGAGTTTTCGCTGTTGCTGCAAGCGGCTTAGTTGGTTCATCCTAAAGATCGGGACCCCTAGAAACCCCAGACCTCCACTGGCGCCCTTCGTCTTTGTTTGGCGGCGCTTTGTCTCTGAAATTAGCGAATGGCCACTGGGAAATGGCTGGCGTTCTTTTCTTTTCCATGTGAACGTGTCAGGGGGCCCCAATGAGTCGCTGCATGCTCGTTCACGCTTGCATCACATGCCAAGTGTCAAAGGCAAATCCACAACGCGCACCAGAAGAGGACACGGGCTTACGGGCTATGATTTGGTTGCAAAAGGTCTGAGAGGTATTGCTTGACATGTGTGCCACATGTTCGTTCCAGCTTTTTGGACATTCTTTCATTCTGCTCCTAGCTCTTTCGCGAATCACGCGAGGTCTTTGAGAGTTGGTGTACAGGGAGGCTGCCTTTTGATGAGCCTGGGCAATCTTCAGTGCCTTGCCATACCTGGCACATCTCGGGAGGTGACGCCCAGTGTGCATGCTTCAGGTTTTCACCTGGCTGCCAGACGTCACTTGCAAATGGCGAGTGGCATCATGTCGACCACTCCTCAGAATACGCTGGCCCAGAGCAAATGCATTTGGCTTGTGGTAGAGGAGCTGAGTATCTCTCGCAGGCCGGCTTTATGTGGAGCAATTTGTCCGTCGTGCCCTCAGCCTCCCTTGCGCAGTCCAACCGCTCAAATGTCGGATGCTTTGCACCGCGCTCGCAGGCTGGTTTGTTTCTGGACTTCTCTCACCAGGGCGATTTCGACTTTAGCGACTGTTGCAATGACGAGAAGGAAGACGTCGTGCAGGCACACTTCTTGGCATCATTGCTGGGTGGACAACTCAACTGCAAACAAAACACACACACACACAGTCAGGGGAGTCCACCGTAAAATGACACGAAGGATTTCAGCTGCAGCTTTCAGCTGTGAGGCACTGAAAGAGGGCTGGCACATTGGCGGCGCAGATGCCTGGAGTGGGCCCTGCTGGCATTTGCTCACTCGGTGGTGTGCTGAGGGAAAGATGTGAGATTTTGTGGGCGTGAAAAGGCGGAATGCAATACCAGTCTCGTAGAAACTACGCTCAGTTTTTTTGTTCTCCCATGGCGTTGGTAGGCAGTTCCGGAGGATCATTCACTGCCTGGATGATAAGGAATACCTTGAAGCGGCAAGTGGGCAGCATGCGCTGGGGGAATGCAGATTCGCAGATTCTGATGGCTCGTGACAGGTGATGTGGACTTGGATTGTAGCATCGAGAAGTTCTTCCAGAGCTGCGCCGGGTGGCCTGGATCTTCGCAGCCTGCGCAGAAGTGAATCACATGCGACCGCCCGCAGCGCAGGGGTTTGCCCCCCTTCCCCTCCCGGCCCTTTTGGCACCTTGCCCTCTGAATACTTTGAGGTCTGGATGTCACCTTGGCTGAGGGTTGAACCCTTGGTGCCCAGGCGAGCGCATCACCGCAAGAGAGCTCCAACAGTCCATGCCTGCAGCGTGTGCGGTCCTTTGTGGAGGCAGGGCATGGCTAGGGGCGGCTTCTTCAAAGGGTTGTAACAGAACTGCGTCGGAACGTCCAGTTGGTGTTTAAGAGTCCATGTGGCTGTGGGTCAAACATATGGAATCCTGGTACCTGCGGTCCCCTGGTGGTTTAATTTTGACCCATACCCATGTAGCGGGTTTAAGGGGCGTTGTTTTTTTGTTTGCTTGCCAGTCGCAGCCCTGGCTGAAGCGCCGCAGCGCGGCTGAAAGTGACACGGCCTCCTCCCACCAAGCATGGTTTGTCGAGCCTGACGGATTCTCATATGGCTGTGGGTCAAAACCAATGGTACCAATGTTTTCTTTTAGTGGAGATTGGGATGTTCACGATTGGATTTTGACCCATGGCCGTATTGTAAGTGAGGAGTTTGCATCCTTGAAACGGCCACAAGTCCAAGCACGAGGCCACGTGCAGGGTTTGTGCACACATCGAGGCCGGGGATGGGACCACATCGTGCTGTTCGCCGGGGTGGACTACCCTGCACGCTTTGACCCGCCCGGAACCTGGAGCTGGGGGGGGCTAGGTCCCTTGCGATGATTTCAAGCTTGGGGGATGTTTTGCTCGTGGCTGTAACTCCAAGGAATCACCCTTTGGCCGGATCCTGAGAATGCCCGCTGTGCCCTTTTTGGAGTGCAGCTTGCTCAGGGCGATGATGACTTTGTCCTGGAGAAAGCGTGGCCAGAGTTTAAGAGCTTTGCACCGCGCTGAGCTTTTTCGTGAGGCCTTGTCTGCCAGAAGGAATCTGAATTGGGGCGTGTTGTGGACATCATTTGCATGGCGATCACGTCCACCAGGTTTCAGGGTGTTCCAACCATGGAGCGCATATTGCCGACCCAGGATTCATAAACTCCTGGTTGATGAATAGGGCTGCCAGCCCTTTCGGACTCTGACTGCTTCCCTTTTCGGTGGCTGGGAGGTCTTGCTGCACCACGGGGCGCGCACGGAGCGCTGCCTGGCACACTTGACGGACCCTTCGTACCTGAAGAATGACGGGACTTACGAGGACCCGGCGCTGGATTGTGAGAGGCAGACGGGGAGCCCATTTTTTTCGCCCTGAGGGGTGGTCCGTAAACAAAGGAAGGAAATAGAAGTCAAGCAACAGGGAGAAGCAGGGTCCCCGACTTTTTGGGGCCTGCAGGCTCCATCAGCCCGTTTCGTAATCCGTGCTCTGCAAGCATTTTGATGAGATATATGCGCGCTGGAGCCAAAGTTGACCACAGTGTGTTGCACAATGCAGCTTTGCACTGCGCTTGATATCACCTGTGCAGGAATGTGCTCGAAGAGTCTTCCAGACAGTCACGATCCCACCCCTTTTTGAAGATGAGGAGCTCCTGCCATGTTTGCAGCAGGATTCGACATTTCCCTTGGACCGCTGACTCTTTGGACCACGGTTGGACTGGCCTTCCCCTCGCGTGTGGGTGTGTGGCTTGTTGACGCTTGCACTTTGGCGCACAACGGCGAAGTGTCTCAGAGCAAGAGAACCATACACGCTCGACCGCACACAGCTGGCGTTGGGCTTCAGAACCGTGCAACTTTGACATCGGCCGGCCTACTCAACTGATCCCAATTTGCATGCTTCCGATTGACCTTGTTTGTGTTCTTGCACTCAAAGGCAGGTCTGCCAGAAAGCTAGCGCTTCCTTTGCTTGGCCGTGCCGTGTCATGCTTGTTTTCTTCTATCAGAAGGCCGGAGTTGCAAATCCGATCGCACATCCGGCATATGCGCTCCTTGCCGCACTCCGCCCTTGTGAAAATGTGTTCCGCACCCCTGCCTTTCGGAGAAGGGGAAGGCTGCGCCAGATGCCGCGCTCGCTCTTTGCCGCCTCAGCGAGTTTCGCTAAAGGCACTGGATGCAGCTTCTTCGCTTCTGCCTGCTGCCAATTGGATTGTGCCAGTCCGCTTTGCGGTTCTATGCTGCGCGTGTCAAACTCCAGACTTCCCCTAAAGCGCTGGCAAGGCCAGAAAGCTTGCAAGAAGCTCAGGGCCAACAGCAAACACTTTCTTTTCTCAAGCAAACATGTTGCACTCGTCTGCTTGAACTTGAAGTGATTTCTTCTCCGATGCCAGTATTTGAGCGGCCGAGCTTCGTTTTTTTTTTTTTTTGCTTCGGATGTTTTGCTTCAATTTTTGTTGGGATGCAGGCACTCCAGCGCGATCTTGCATGTGACCATGGCTTCCAGCAGAAGATGGTCCGGTCTCCTGATTGCTGTTGCCCGTCAGTCTCTGCCTTGCAAGTGGTTGACAGTATCCGCGACAATTCGGCCGCGCCTTGTATGTTGAACGCATCATGCGCAATGAAGTCCAAGTTCATGTGAAGGCGATGGTACAGACCTGGTTGAGTGGCCAGAGCAAGTCGTAGCTGGGCTAGCCAGGCGGACTTGAGGCTCGCAAGCTCGCACTCACATCCGGAGCTTGGCAGTCTGAGCGCCTCGTGGAAGGCCTCCGTTGCAACCGAGCTGTACCGTTCATGACAAGACACACCTACAAAGGACTCCCCTTCGTGACGTGCTCACGACCAGCCTATGCATTTGGGTAGGGCCGCAATTGCGCAAGATGTTTGTTCCTTGTGTTCGGTGCCAGTTTTTTTTTGGTAGTCAGTGCATGGAGCCCATGCTGCCGATCAGCAGGCGCCGACACCTGCAACCCCCAACAACCTTCATCCACAGCGTCCGCAGCAGCACCCACAAGCACAGCCCATGCAGCATCAACAGCAGGTAGCCTCGCAACCAGTGGCCGAAGTGCCTCTGCCGCAAGTACTGCAACAGACTTCTGGGCCGAGCGCGATAAACGTGAGGAAGCACTGCTTCTCCTGCCACGGGTCGCGCACGAGCCTGGCAGCCAGAGCTTGCGAGTTCTTCACGTAGAGTGGCCAATGATGCCCTGGCGGCCGCACCAGCCCCAAGATTCAGCGCCTCTGGCAATGACACCACCGTCTTGCCTCAGGCATGGGCTTGGCGCAGGGCAGTGGGGTTGTTGGCCCTGACGAAGCATTATGTTGAAGAATGCCGTGGAAGAACACGCCTGGCATACGCTCCATTCTTTTGCGTCCTTTACTTCACTCTCCCCGTCATACGCCTGCCACCCTGCCTGCGACGACGATGCAACGAGGGAATAACCAGCCACGACCGCGCCGGCGCCTCACCCCTTCTGCCCAGTTGGGGGCTCATGCTCGATGGTCGCCTACAATATGTCCCGTTTCCGGCGACAGCTGCCTGCTTTGCTCGAGCGAAGCTGGTATCAGCCCCGCCTTGTGCTTGCCGGCTGCTGTGGCGGTTCCGGCCCTGATGAAGTTTCGGCTGTTGCCGAGCCTGCTCCGTTGCCCGAGGGCTCCGATGGCCTCGCCTTTTGGCGATCCCTTGCAAGGGTGGCAGCGCCAGGCCACCGCTGTTGTTGAGGACTGCTTTTCAGCCCAAGAATGCAGTCGGCTGTTTGTTGTTCCCCCCCTCTCCCTGTCGACCCTCCGCACTTGTTCCATGCGATCGTGGTCTCCGACTCTTTCCCAACTCCATGGCGCAAGCAGAGAGGAGAGGAGAGGAGAAAAGAGAAGAAAAGAGAAGAGGGAAGAGAAGAGAAAACTCGCCGGTGCCATCGGCGCCTGGACCCCAATTGCGACCAGAGTTTACCGAGCCCCACGACCGGGCAGTTGCTTGCTAACTGGGACGCTTGCTCGGCGCCGTGGATACACCCTTAAATCTTGCCCAGCTGCCAGCCTGGCGCGCGCGGCTCCCACTCCGCTACGGGTCACAGCGCTTCCGACGCGCGAGGGGTTGACGCTGCAGGATGACGCGTTCCGTTGCGGGCTCCTCCAACACCAGGTGTCCGTTGGGAGGCAGGCGCTCGGGTCGCGAACAACGTCTCAGCGGGCGCCGTGGCCTTGTCGTTCTTCTGGGGCCCGTCCGCCACCCCACCCGGACTTCGTGGGAGCTCACTTGAAGCAGCGCGTCCAAGAAGAGCAGCGGTGGCTGCGGGAGACCCTGGCGCTGATTGAACGCGCGTGGCTTCTCCTGTTCACGCGCGTTTCTCCAACCATCTTCTCCGCTCGCGGCCGCCATCCCGGGTCGCGCCGTATGGCGGGGAAAGCGAGATGGCCGTGTAGACGTTTTGCAGCGGCCGACGAGCTTGCGCCGTCTGGCGCTCCTGCCGGCACCATGGGAAGCTTCGGGCTTCAGAGCGCAGCCCGCGCGCAACATTCCAATTTGTTTTTCCGTGATTTCTTTTTGCGCTGCCTCCGCCGCGCCTCCCCTCGAATGGGTTTTGTTTTTGTCATCAGCCTCCGGTTGCAGGACCACATCCGTCGACGAGCACATGCCGAGCGGCGGCCCCTCCTCAGCACCAAGCCTCACGGCGCTGCCGTCGGCATATGGGTTGTGTGGTGGTGCCGGGATGCCTGGCTGTGGGGCGGAGCTTGGTGTCTTCAGCGACTATGCAGCTGCGTGTCCTCGCAGCGGTCTTCCTGCCCGCCGCGCCCCCCTAGTTTTCATCGAGCAGGCTTGGGTTCGCGCCAGGCCCTGGGCCCAAAGCAGTGGCTCGAGTAGCGCCGCAGCTTTGGCTGGCACACGGCCGCTCCTGGAGTCGCCGCAGATGATCGCCGGCGTCTGTATGGCGCCACTCGCCTCGGCGAGCCCCTTTGCTGCGACGTCAAGCTGGTCTCGCCTGCGCGCAGGGACGGCCGTTTTCACCACCGGGCTGCTGAGCACGATAGCGCCGTGCTCGGGAGCTACCCTTCGCCAGCAGCGTTTCGTCGTCCTTGGCTGTGAGGTCGGCTGGCGCTGTGGCTCCGAGCCGCTCCGCTGGCGAGGCCTTCTCGGCATCGCTCCGTGTCCACCTTGTTGGGCGGCGCCTGGCTCTCGCCTGCGCGTTTTGCTGCGGATGTGGGGCTGGACCTCGGTGACGTTCTCGGCGCTGGGGACGTGCCTTTTCCCAGCCGCCTCCCCTTGCAGGGGCAATCGTGCCGTGAGCGGGGTCACCGGAGTCGTGTCGACGGCGTTTTGCGACCGTTGGCCGCAACGCGCGCCCTGGCAGTGGGGCCGTCCAGAATGGGGGCAGAGACCAGCGCGGCCCCCGTAGCAGTAGTTCACACAGCGGCGGAGGAGCCATCCGCCATCGCCGAAGTCGCTCCGGCCGACGCAGCGGCAGCAGCAGCAGCAACCACGGCCGCGACGGCAACAGCGCCCGTGCCAGCCATAGCCGGAGCCGTCAGGGCAACCCACCAGAGAATGATGCCAGCGCGCCAGCTGCACGTGCAGGTGCCGCTGACCAACCTGACCACACAGCAAGCAGCCAGTACGTTCCAGTTCGTCCCGCCGTTTGCTCGTGGGCCTGTCCGCCAGTGCTTGACCACTGCGCTGTCAGCTGTGCTTGAGGCTGCTGACAACGAGGTCGCAGCCATGCGTGCTTGGAAACTGTGGTTCTTGTTGCACGGGAGCCTGGAACGAGGAAATTGCCCAAACGAGATTGTTCCACGCGGGCAGGTGAGGTGGGAAACGCTGCTACACCAAGCAACTCCAACGGGTGCAGGCCATCCAGGCAACCTTTCCGCCGGCGGCAACCCAGCCCGCTCAGCACAAAGGGCACGGCACCTCGTCCACCTTGGTGAGTTGTCGGTTGCGCGGCAGGCGCTCACTGCCACCCCGCTCGCCCCAGGCACGCCTGAGACCTTGGCGGAGCTTCGGGATCCGGCCCGGCGCCCGACACAACCGTACCAGGCGCTTGACTCGGCCGTCCTCGAGTTCCAACCGGACGAGCCCGCCCCCACCTCCTGCCTGAAGTTGTCCTTGCTAACTTACGGCGTGCTAGAAAGGGTGCAGCTCCAGGACCTTCAGGCATAACTGCAGAGGTCGCCCGTCTCCTGCTGGACGATGAGGAGGCGTCAGCCGGTTTGTGCAAGTGTTGCAACTTGTCGCCACTGCCCGGATCCCCCGTGAAGCCGCCAGGGCGTTTGGCTTGGGAGGCATGGTCGCGTTTGTCAAGCCCAATGGCAGGGTCACCCTTGCACAGCAGAATGCATCAGTGTCCCAGGACGCGTGCCAGCCAGATCAGCTTGCCTTGTCATCCCGAGCTGGCGCCGAAAGTGTGGCGCACCTCCTGTTGACGGCAACTTTTGAATCGAACCCTGAGGCCACCTTGCTATCTGTTGATGGGGTGGGTGCATTTGACAGCATCAGCCGCCAGTTCATGTTGGGGGGTTTGTTGGGGACACCAGGCGCATCCCGCATTTTGCCTTTTGTTCGCATGTTTTATTCGGAGCCGTCCGAGTACGTGTGGCATGACGCAACTGGTGTTGCGCACCTTGAACTCCAGGCCGAAGGCGGTGAACAGGGCAAAAAAA